AGGCAATTACGCCCCAGCGGTAATGAGCAAGCTGGTCGCCGGGCAGCCATCAATCATCTTCGTATTGATCCGTCAGTGATTCATCTGCCTTTCCTTCTCTAGTTCCCCCCCCCCGCGCGCACCTGACCAATGCCGTTTATTGGATTCTGAACAAGACCTTAATTTATTGGAAGGTGGGGGGTGTTTCGGTCTTGGAGGAGGGAGGCGTAAATCGAGATCCACCAAGCCAGAGTCAGACGCCAAGAGACGGATACATACTTGGAAGGAAGATGTGGGTCCTGCTATTCCCACGACCAACGCTGGTTTCACTTATGCAGTTTAACGCTGTTGGTGAGGCGGAGGTCCCCCTCTCTTAAGGTGGAGTTGTCCGTGCCGGCTGAAGGATTCTGGGCGTCGTAGTCCAAAAAGTTACTTTCCCAAGCTCTGAGTAAGCTATTTGTTGTTCCCTGCCTTCAGATCGCCTTCTTCGAGTTATGGTGACCCTATGCATGAAGGACCTCCCAAGGCCCCTGTCCTCAACAGCCCGGTTTAGCTCTTCCAGACTCCCGCCTGTGGCTTCCTTTTAGGGAATCAGTCCATCACATATTGGGTCTTCCTCTTTTCCTGCTTTCTTTAGCCTTCCCCAGTCTTCTGGCCTTTTCGAGACAATCCTGCCTTCTCGTGATGGGCTCCAAGTAGGGCACCCTCAACATTTCTGCCTCCATGGAGGCAAAAGGTCACATATCCCACATGCTGGCAAATTTTGGGTTGTCTCTTTCAGCTTGGAAAAAGTGAGGTGGGAAGCAATGGTTTAGACTTCCTTGAGAGTAAATGCCACACACACACACACACACACCCCATCCAGGATATTTCCCACATGGTTTAGACTTCCTTGAGAGTAAATGCCCCCCATACACACACACCCCATCCAGAATATTTCCCATAGGCGGGAGGAGAGGAGCTCTAGTCCACAAAAGCTAGTCTCATAGTCAATGTGGTGGCCCTTCCTGCCCCAGCACACCCACCCACAGATACACAACAGACCAACAACGTTCCTGCTTCTCTGGAGATACCTGCAATGTGGCAACCCTTGATGGAGAAGAAAAGCTGGTTGTGTCCCATTTCTGTGACACAGAGACCGGTGGCACCTGGAAAGCCAACACGCTTGAATCTCTCTCTGTGTGTGTGCGTGTTTGCACCCGGTGCAAATCATTCCACCTATTTTGCACGGTTTTGAATGCAAATATTTTGAAACCTTAAAATATTTTACAAATATTTAAAATAAAAACTACAGGGGGCAAACATTTCTAAAAAGGGTTTTCCTTCCATTCTGGGTGGGGTAGAAGTCCCTTTTAAAACTGGTCTCCAGAGTGACAGAATAAAGTGAGTTTTATATTCAATTCCATCCATCCATGAATTAATCAACATTAAAACGCATCCAATCAATCAACTGAAAGGGATTTAATCCGCAAGTGGACTTGACACTGCATGCAATCTGATCCAAGTTATTTTTACCCAAAAGTAAGCAAATTGCTCCCAAGTAATAATTTTACACTTATAATTCCCGTATTTCTGGTAGCACATACAACCTCTGTGTGCGTGTGTGTGTGTGCGTGTGTGTGTGTGTGTGTGTGTATGTACAGTATGTATCTGTCGATAGATAGATAGATAGATAGATAGATAGAGAGAGAGAGAGAGAGAGAGATGTGAACTCAGTGCAACCCTAATGGTGTTTTCAAGGTTGTGAAGTGTTTAAGGAGTTGCCCACCGTGGAGAGAAGATTTGAACCCGGGTCTTCTGAGTCTTGGCCCGACCCTGTAACCACTACATTGCATTTGTGAAGGGACTCTTTCCCTGGATGTAGCCTTGATCTCAAAAAGCCCGGTATCTCAGCAGACGTGATTAAATCGGCAGACAACCTCTGTAGATGCGCCAACCGGCATAGAACCCAGTTCGGAAAAGCTGAGGATGCCACCATTAGTAGTCTTCCAGATGCCACAGAACTCTTAGTGGACAGGAAGAGACAGAACGAAGCCTTTTACAGATTTCCCTGCAGCGGAATGCCATTTCCAGACATGGGGAAGGGGGATTTGCGGGCGGGAGAACTCGCTGCGCGTGTAGGTGTGTCAAAATATTTACACACTGGGAATCTCAGATGTTTTCAAAGTGTGTGTGTGTGTGTGTGTGTGTGTGTGTTAGAGAGAGAGAGAGATGGGAATAAGAGAATACCTTCTCCCTTGAAGAGCGCCTGCTGTTGCTGATGCTGTTTATTTTGGTTTTTGTTGTTGTTGATGATGATGATGCCATCCTAGCCAAAGTTCTGTCTTTTCCAGCTGGTTTAGTCGCCAAGGTGATCGTGGGAACGACGCAGGCGATCATACATCGTCTCGGTCTTGATGCTTGCCGGCGGAGACGGGTGAGGGGATATGGAGAGGTATAACACTTCTTTTAAAAGGCGATTGGATACGGACAGTAGCCATCCACGAACGCACCTCAGGTGTCTTTTAGAGGTGTTAATTTCTTTTACGACTTTTGTGGATTTTCTTTTTTTTTTTTCCCTTCCCTTTTCTGGGGCTAGAGGGGGTTAAATAGGGAGGAATCAAAACCAGTGACAGATCCCAAGTTTTAAAAAACACCCATTATTCCAGTCTCTCCAGCATACATAACTCAAAAATAAAAGTGGGTGATGCCCTGATTAGATTCCCCCTGGAAGAAGCAGCGCCGGTAACTTTCCCAAGTCCAGTTCACACTGGGCATTGCAAAGCCTTTTTAGGGAGAGAAACAGAGAAAGGGACCAAAGGTGGAGACTTTAGGATCTGTAGAATGGGATCCTAAGACAGAAGCTGCAGGGCTGTAGGCTACTTTGAGAAGATCCTGGGTGTCCCCCGGAAGGCGATGTGGAAGCCAGGCTCCCTGGAAATTCCCGGAGGAAGGCACGCCCTCTCCTCCAGAAGGTCTCTGCCCGCAGGGAGCGTACAAACTCCCTTTCGAACGAGAGATGGGCAAGAGACTGGAACGAGCAAATAAGTTCCGTTCTCCGTGGCTAAGTTACCACCCACCTCTCGCAACTTTTCCCGTTGCTTTTGCAGTATCCAGATAACGGACCTCAAACGGCAGCTAGTCGCTGGGGCTCGAATCAGGGGTCCCGGGAACGAGCCTTCTCGACCTGGAATCTCTGGGGCTGATCGGGTACATTTCCTCCCCGCATCCTATACATCTGTCGGGTTTTCCCCCTCTTTTTTCTTTCTTTCCCCTATTTATTCATTCATTTTAGCCTAGAAGGGAGGAAAAGTTGGGTATGCAATGCGCTTTTTTACCTGGTTGGAAGCCTTCCTTAGCTTGAAATGCAATTTCCATTCGCATAAATGCGCATAGGATTGCGCCTTAATAGAACTTCATTTTGGAGGATGCGTGGATTAGGTTCTCTTTGGCAAACTTTGTAGTTTTGTTTAGTCGTTAAGTCGTGTCCGAGTCCTCGGGACTCTTGGCAAACTTAGCTCTCGCAAATTAATTGGCCCTACTGATTGGGGGGGGGGGATACCCAGTGTGGTGCTGTGGATAGAGCGACTGGTTGGAACCTTGGAGGCCTGGGTTCGAATCCCCGCTCAGCCACGGATGCTCACTGGGGAAGTGGAACTGGCAAAGCCACTCCTTCAATATCTTTCCTGTTTTCACCCCTCGTGCTCTTTCCATCCTGATTCCTCCAACTGAAAGAGGTAGGATTTGAAGAAGGAAGGAAGGAGAAGGCTAAAACTGAAAGCAAAAGGAGATTTTCTAAAAACTCTTGAGGTTCTAGATCGGGGTGGCGCACGCGTCTGGAGGCCATCCTTTTACCCACGGGAGTGATGATGAAGGACGAGGTCTGTGATTTGGGGGTTGACTCGTGGGACGGCGTGGAACCTCTGCCCCAAAGCCTCCTGGCGAAAATAAAATTTCTCTTTGCCTCTCGCTCTCTCAAAGGCAGCGATGGTTTTGAAAAAGGAGAGGGGTGACCGAGAAAAATAAGGGAGGAACAGGAGTTCAAAATATCTGGTTAACTTTTTTTGGGGGGGGGAGAGAGATGGCAGGACCCCCTTTGAGAATCCACTGGAAACGTTGAAGCCCCTGCCCGGGAGGGGGGAATGTTATAAATATAAATAATAAATATTTCAAAAACAACAGCAAAAAAACCGGAGGGTTATGATCTAGGGAAAAGAGTGAAAGAAATATGTAGGGCTGGGGAGTAGAACAGAGCCCCCCCTTCCCTCCAAACAGCAGCATGGAGGGCGGATCCTTGCCTTCACCCCCCCACCACCTTGCACATTTGAGGAACACCGGAGGTAAGAATCCGGCGTGACACCGGCGTGGCCCGGCGCGCGGATCTTCAGCGGGGATTGGGCCAAAATTTCGGGATTTACTTCTGACGTC